CTCTCTAACATAAAAGAAGTCCCCATTACACTTGCTAGATACCGATTGTGATTGTGGGTGTTAGTATCATTTAATCCGATGAAATAACCACTGAGAAAATAAGAATGCAAGAGAGATTATTCTAATAATTTTACTAACTCATATTCTAATTCTAAGAGCAAAGGGTACTATACAAGTGTTCTCAAGTTTATACAACGGCAATAGTTTTTTGCATAGAATTTGATCATTTAAATTCAGTGTGTTCTGGGCTCTGTGTGTTTTTTTAATTCTGTATGTTCTGTGCTCTATGTGTTATTTTACTTTACAAAACAAATGCCACTTCCAAAATAAAATATGAATATAATAAAAAAGCATTGATAGGATAGACTATTGACACATCATTTACATTAATACAGTATTAGTATCTTTTTAATGATTTCGGTATTGCTATAACCACACATACTGTACAAAATCATTCATCCCACTAGTTATCATATTTGATATTCTCAGAATTATCTGCTGTGGCAGTCAGGAAATAGTCTTCAAATTAAGTTTGCAAATATGATTTTTCAATGTCTCACTGGAGAAATACAGTCGTGTGGGATATAAAGATGTAATTTAAAAAGTAGGGTTGAAATAGTCAGAATAGTGACTTTTACCAACAAGGTGACGAAGGTAGTACAGTAGAGAAGAATGTGTTAGGAGTGAAAATGCCAATATTTTACGTCCAGCCCTGCATTTACTATAAGGATGGGAATACATTTCGGTTAAGCCCTTAATCTGGCTTAGTTTTATACTGTAAGACTACAGATATCTAACAAGCCAAACACAGAGGGTTAAGGCTATTAAACTAAATAATTAAATATACAATTGACACATAAATATATCAAAATCATAAATAGAATAGAAATGAAAATACAATTACAGCTAAACTCACAAAATAAACCTATCGATTCACATTCCCTATCTTACTAAATGCAGAAATATTTATATTGGAATTAGAAATAGAGAGTAGGTGCTAGAAAAATGAAGTCTATTGAATCACAGAATATTCAATGAGCAATCTATGTAAGTGGGTCTAACTGAAAAAACGTATTGATGTTTTAGATGTATATGAAAAGTAAAATAATGTAATCTTAGTCAAAAGAATATGTCTTAAAAATCCCACCTTGAAATTTATGTGAGACAAAAGTCCCATTTTGTTATTCTTCTAGACAGAAAAACTTTTTACCAAGTTATTATATAATGTTAGAATTTTCAATATCAATGTTTTCGTGTGAAATTTTTTCATACAGTGTTTTCTAATTTATTTATTATATTTTAATTAAAAACAAAGATATTTTTTAAAGCCTGTTTTATCAGGTGAGGAAAAAATATTTGATGAAATGTTAATAAATTTATGATCACTGCTTAATTACTCACTCTATTACCTTCTAGATATAAAGACTGAAAAACATGAAGATATGCACATAGTGAAAGTATAATTAAGCCTGTCAAGAAAAAAAAAATATTCCATACTAAAAATGCCCATAATTAGATTTTTAAAAAGCTAAAGAAGCTTACCTAGCATTAAAAAGAATCTTTAAATTATTAAAAAAGGGAGGGAAAATGTAAAGGAGCAAGGGATTAAAATGGGAAAAATAATTTGATCTAAAAAAATTCCATATGCTGGAACCAGCAGTTAGCAAATAGCTATGTCGCTGAACTCCCATGTGATCGACCATGCTTCAAGTCCTGGACCCCGTGGCTTAAACTCATGCCAGGTGTGTGTGCATGTGTGCCCAAGATCCTGAGAGGAGAATGGAGGAGAAGGGATTGCAGCATGGCCATCCTCCCTGGGGGGGTGGTTTCTTGCTGTCTGTCTCTCTGGCGAGTGTACATGCCCTGTAGCAAAAACCTCTCCAATAAAAAAAATTCCATATGCTTTATTAAAGTAAAAAATTATTTTTGGAATATTATTTTTTCTCTTAAGGTAGACATTTTCAAAATAATTATTTTCAATACTATATCAATTATTTCATGATCTGAACATAAATGAATTAAAGTAAAAGCAGTAAGGAAGAGATGATTAAAATAAACCAGATCATAAGACATTGTAAAGGGCTCAAATAATCAATACAGTGTACAATTGATAGCAATGAAAAGAATATCAGAACTAGAAAAAAATGATGTGAGCTCAGCAAATTATTCAGCTTTTAATTATAGCAATAGAGATAGCTTATGATTTTTATTATGAAAGAATAAGTGATTTTGGAAAACTGTGTCTCAGCTTTACCTGCATTCTCAAACGTGAAATTACGCCTAAGAATATATAAAAACTAATGTGAAAATGAGATGAGTAAAGTCAAAATGTTAATTTTAGTTTTTAATTTCAATAATTCTGATGCTGTTTGGTATCATGGATTGTTGTGGCAAGGGACACACTTGGTATGACCCATCAGTGATGCCACCATATTGAGAGAATCTATAATGTAATGCTGTGTTAGTAATCTTTGTTTCTCAAAGTTGTCAGGCACTTTTTTTAAATGTGAAATCTCTAAAATAAAAATTAGAAACATCCAGGATGGTAAGCACCAAGGAAGGAAAAATTGGCTTTTCTAGATACTTTAAAATCACATTCAATCATAACTTTACCTTACGTAAGAAAAATTCTTATTATCAAATAATCTTATAGAATGTAAGTACCTCTCCTATCCATTTCCTATGTAAGAAACTTTTACTTTTTGAGTTATAACAAGTAGGGAATTACTTATTACATTATGGAAATTACTTATCTATAAAAAATAACATTTTTCTTCTAAATCCAATTTGGGGAAAATATATTCCTAAATCAAATTAATATATTATTATTTTTATGAGAAAAAAGTGATATTAAAATATTTTTGGCTATTCTATAATCATTACCATTATTTGGGATAATTTGTATTGGCTAGAAAAGCAGGCAATCTGAAATTATATATTCGAGTAATAGCAAATAAAGTCTCTTAAAAGTCTTAACAAACAATCAATAAATCAAAATACCTATTGCGAATCTAATTGATTTAATATTTGGTTAAATTGGTTAATATTTTTGTACCTGCATTTTATCTACCTTTGCTTCTATAACTTCCACTGGGAGTCAACATGGTAGAGAACACCTTAGGGTTTCTTTCTGCTTTTAGGTAAACCTGAGTTTTAATTTAGATTCTGTCACATACTACCTTTTAACTTTGGGTAATTGGCTGAGCTTATTTGTGTATCTGGATTTCCTTTTCACTCATCTATCATATCAAGCTAGTAACTTCTAAAGTGTTGGGTTAAATATTAAGAAATTATGTAGTTAAAATGCTAGGCACATAAATATCAGTTCCCTTCTTACTTTGCATCCTTTCTCTTTACTAACTTGAGTCTAACAATCATATATTTTATTTGGTTTGCTAAAAACATTCTATGTAGAGTTTTTTTTAAAAAAAAGTGCTTTAGATGAAAAATAAGTTTCAACTAACTGATCAAAAACACCTCTACATATTTGATATTTATATTAAAACTTACTTTTATAACATACATCTTTTAGTCTTTCTATTCTTGATTGTCATGTTGTATAGACAGAGAAGCATAAGAATAAAAAAACTGAATTTTGAAGTGCATATATCTACATATCAATTGATTGACTGAAATTACGAGTTATGTGAAATACACTAGAACTTAATCACTGCCTCTTAAAAGTGTGCTGGATGGACCTGAAAAGGATCAGGAAAGATGGTGGGGATAGGCCAGGACAAATCCATACCCAGTATCTTATTCCTAAATTAGTAAAAGTATTTTTCAGAGTAATAGTAAAAAATATAGGCTGTTCAGCTAACTCAAATGGGAAAATACTTTATGGGTCCACTGTTTCAGGAAAACCCTCCTTTTGCAGAGTTTTATAATGGGAGAAAAGGGGTTTTCAGGGATTTTAGTGATGTTCTCTTTGTTTCATTATGTTTTGAACACTGAAAAGCCATGATAGCCTAGAAGTAAGTCGGCACTAATTGCTGCTGACAGAGAAGCAAAATATATTTCTTCTTGCATTTAGATAACTATAAAATATTGAAAGTTCTAGGCTGATATTTTTTTCTTAATCTTCGACAGTTTGTTAAAGCAAGAAATCTATTATAACAAGTTCAAAAGGGTGGAGAAAGCAAATAAGTAGGATAATTTATAGTATGCTGGAACAATTCTGAATTCTGTACATGTTTATGCCATTTTTTCAAGTTTATTATTTAACTTTCACCATTCATGTACAGAAATTAATATGTGCATATTTGGAACTTCGTACAGTGCTACCACTAGGCCTGAGCGTATATATCATATCATTGCTTCGGATGTGCAATTTCACATGCCATTCTTTTCTTTTCTTTTTTTTTTTTTAAGAGGTTTTCGCTATAGGGCATGTGCACTCACCAGACAGACAGAGACAAAGAGACAGAAAGCGAGAAATCACCCCCCAGGGGGGATGGTCACACCACAATCCCTTCTCCTCCATTCTCCTCTCGGGATCTTGGGCACACACGCACACGCGCCCGGCGTGAGTTTTAAGCCACCGGGTCTGGGACGCGAACCGTGATCGATTACGTGGGAGTCCAGCGACATAGCCATTACGCTAACTGCTGGTTCCCGCCATTCTTTTCTAACAATGTAATACAATCAGTGTTAGAAATGAAGGGCTAATAAAGACAACCAAAGAGCAGCAAAACAGATGTGAATTGGTTTTGACTTGACAAGAAGTATACCAGTAAATAAATAAACCTCCTTCCAGTGAGAAGGTCCGCTGGCAGGTAATAAAGAGAGTATTGCAGGAAGCAGAAGTCATGGAGTTTAAGGTGCTGAATCCCAAATAGCCAACTGTCTGGTTCAAATCCTGGACCCAGCGGTTTGAAGATTATTCAGGGTGTGTGTGTGCGTGTGTGCCCAAAAGTCTGAAAAGAGACTGAATGAGAGGGGATTTCAGCATGGCCATCATCCTGGGTGGAGGGGTGATTTCTCACTTTCTCCCTCTCTCTCTCTCTCTCTGCCTCTCTAGCAAGCACATTTATCCTCCTATAGCAAAAATTGGAAAAAGAAAAAGGATAGCCTTATACCTAAAACCATTGATCATTACTTTTCTAACTAATCACACCGGAGTCTAATATCTATCTTAGTTTAAATGTGTATTTTCAGAGAATTCCAGCCATTTCTTTGGAAATGTTTATAAGTGGACAGATACTACTCAATTTGTGATGTTGCATCTCTTAGGAAGAGTCAGAATTACTTACAAAAGCACTAGCAATATAAATATAGCTACTTTGAGAGTCAAGACTGGGTATAACTACATTAAAGACAGCTATGTGCTGCCACATTTTTCCTAATTTATTTACATACTATATTGGCACGTCTTGTTTTATTTAATATTTAAAAAATAGAAATACCTCTTCATATGCAAAAAAGCAAATATTAAATGAAAATGGAGTTCTAGATAGCTTTTTAAATATGAGCCACATGCTTACACAGTGCATTAATTTTTTGAATAACATCTTTAATGCTAACCATTTCAAATGCTTGCAATTCAAGTGTAATCTCCAAGGAAATAACAATAGCACCTGCGTCTACTGCTATAAAAAAAAAATGAAAAGCGAATTCTCTTTGACATCTTAAGAGTGGCATCACTTCAATAATTAAGCACTAAAGTGTTTTTATTTATCAGAGCGTCAATTGAAACTTCAAATTTATGGATAAAATATTTATAATTTTAGCCATAATGTGTAGTGTCATCCTTGTTTAGAGAACTTTCTCAGTCGAAATGATACAATAGTTTGGAAAGCACAGCACTATCATACGTTTAAGAGTGATCCAGATTCCCAGATGTTTCCACAGAACAGTTTCTATGAAAATAAACTGCTAAATTAACCTGGGCCGCACTCACACCATGTCCATTTCTAAAAGCGTTTTAGCAGTTTCCTGGTTTAGTTATGCCCACAGCCAGGAGGAAGAGAGGAGAACTTTCAGGTGCTGTCGTTCTTGTCATCTGAGACACTTCCAATGACTGACTAGAAGGCCTGTTTATGGTGACTTTTGCTTTTACATTTTGTGGAAAGAGTTTAGAGGACTTATTAAAACTACCTCACATTATCAACTGTAGTTGGATGGGATACTCATACTAGTACCATCTGAGCACCACTGCCTGTTGAGAAAAATCAGAATTTGGTCTACTGATAAACTTGTCAACTAGGACTCCATTTATTTACTTTGATATTTCAGGATGACAGGGAATCTGGTTTGAGGCCTGGTAAGAAGAAACGCCCAGTTATTACTTTCTGTATTATAAACTAAAATCCTTTTTAAAATCAATGGACATAGAGTATTAAGTCATGTGGACTTTTAATTTGGTTTACATGGTAGGTGATAACTCTTAAAATACTTTGAGGAGTCTATTATCTGGCATCACATACTAACAGCTTGGCCTGCCTAAAAGAAACCATGTGTGAGAATTAATCAAATCTAATAACACTAAGAAATAAAGGTTTACAATGGATTTTATTCTCTTTATCCAATTTTTTCATGTATGCAAATTTTTTGATAGCAGTTAGTTGTGTTTTTTTTAATTAAAGGCACCTTTTTTTACCCATGTGCTTATCACAGAAATCTACATTGTAAAATAGCATGTAGACATGATACTTTTTTTGCCTCCTTCTGTATGTTGTTAATTAAAAAAATATATTACCATAGTAATATTCTTTATGAATTTGTTTTTGTTCTCCAGATACTCTGTGTACCTTTGGGTATGAATGTGAGAGTATGAGGAGAGAATGCATTTTTCTCAATTCTGTTTCCTGCATTAATATCAGATAAATGATAAATATGAAGAGGGCCATCATGGGTTTAAATATACTCCTGTATCCACAACTTAAACCAGGGGCTTCAGTTTCAGATTTCTCTATGCAACCAAGATTGGAAGTCACTGACAGACTTTAAAATTAATATTTTAGACACCATATTCAGGCTCATGTAGGGAACCAAACCCATTGCATAATCTCACATTTTAGCTACCCAAAATAAATTTGAAAAAAGTACCAAAATTGATGCTACAGGATCTCATCTCCATCTTTTTTTGACTCCTCATTTTAACACCAAACTTTTCTAATATTTTTAAAACACAAAAATCAAACTCCTTAGAAAATGTATGAACACTGAAATCAGAGATGTGATTTTTTTTAAATATTAGTTTCTCTTTCTGAGGGCTTGTGGTGTGATTTGGAAATTTTGACAGTAACATCATCATAAGGTTTATGTTTGCTCAAGGGTTCAGATTCTGCAGACTCAAGCCTTTGCATGTTCTTCTTTCTTGCGTCTTTCTTCTGCTGTTCCTTTTTAAGCAATCTATAGTTTATAGTATTGCCAATGAGCAGCCAGATGCTTGATGTGACTACCATAGTCCCACTGGCTAAGTACATGTACTTGTATTCTCCAGTTATATCCACCAATTTACCTATGAGACAAAGAACATCTTTTACCATGGCATAATAAAACAGCCACAAAATAACACAATATTCAATCAATTCTTTTCCAAACAAAACACATGCCTTTTCTTTAAATTAATGTCAAATGAGACTTTAACAAAGAAAAAAAATGACTCTAGATTATGAATTTTATATATGCTAATAAGGACATATATAGACAGTTACAGTATTACATTATCAGCATAACAAATGTCTTCAAATAATGTCCTGATAAATATCTACAACCAAGATAAATAAAGTATATGCATGTTTATGTGTGTATTAAATGCAAGGATGAAGTATATCATATTTATACATCGAGATATAGATATATCATCTATTTATTTACAGCATATGTATTGAGATCACCCAACCTTTTTTATGCTTTCTCCTCAAGAGAGAAAAATTATATCCTTTTGGAAAGACCCAAAGGTTCCCATATGGTTCCTAAAAGGGCCTATTATTTACTAAGTGTATTCTCTATGCCTAGCACTTCACCTGCAATATTTCATTTGATCTTTATAAGAGAATCATGAAGTAATTTGGCCACGGTTACAAGGCTGATAGGTGGCAGAATCTGGACACTAACCAAGGTCTGTCTGAATTTATTATTTTATTTATTTATTTTTATATATATTCAGTCACATTGTTTAGCTTACAAAGTGAATATTTCAACAGGTGAACATTTCTTCCTAGTCCAGTTGATCAACCTATCTTCAACAGATAACACCACACCTCCTTGTCTCGTCAATGCTCTGTCCCTGTATTCCTCATCCAAATGAACTTCCCTAGGCCCCACTCCTCCACATACACCACATCTGGCATTCATATCCAACTCTTGTGTTTGTATATCTTTTAGTCAATCAGTTTCAGTCATAGAGTGCAGACACTTGGTATATATTAAGTGGGGATATACAATGTCTCTCCTTCATAGCCTGGCTTCCTTCACTCAGCTGTAGATCTTCCGTATTCTTCCACTTTCTGTCAAAAGCTAGGATTTTGTTGGTCTTTATGACTGAATAGTATTCCTTAGAATTTGTGTGCCACTGTTTTTCAATCCATTCATCCATATGGGGGCACTTGGGTTGGTTCCACCCAAGTGAATAATGAATAACAATAAGCATCTATGTGCAATCATGAATAGTGCCACAAAAAACATCTATGTGCAAGCACTTTTCCAATGAAGAATTCTTCTGTCCTTTGGGCAGATACCGAGGAGTGGGATTGCTGGATCATATGGTACTTCTATTTGTAGATTTTTGAGGAATCTCCAAATTGTTCTCCATAGTGGCTAGACCAATTTACATTCTCACCAGAATGGCTTCAACAAACCTCCTGTTTGTGCCATGTCACTTTTTAGGTTAATCACAGTATTTTTAAATTATCCAAGTATAAATTATGCCCAAACCTATCAGGAAGAAACTTTTTGTTCCATTTGATAATTGAAGTCATTTAAAAACTAGCCTATTGCCATATAATATGAAAGTTTGTGAATTTAAAAAATTTGAGTCTTAGGACCAGAGAGCATAATGGCTATGTCGCTGGACTCTCATATGGTTGACTGTGGTTCTAGTCCCAGATCTGGTGGCTTAAACTCACACTGGGCACATGTGCATGCATACCTGAGATCCTGAGAGGAGAATGGAGGAGAAGGGATTGTGGTGTGGCCATCCCCCTTGGAGGGGTGACTTCTCACTTTCTGTCTCTTTTCTTTCTGTCTTTCTAGTGAGCACGCACACCCTATAGCAAAAAAAATTCTCTCTCTAAAAAATTAAAATTTCAGTTTCTTGTCATTAGTGAAATGCAAATTTCAATCACAATGAGGGCTAGGATAAAAAAATAAATAAGTGCTGGTGAGGCTGTGGTGAGAGGAAATCCTCTTTCACTATTGATAGGAATGTAAATTAGTACAACCACTGTGGAAAAGAACACACAAGTTCCTCAAAACCTGCTACAAATAGAACACTACCATATGACCCAATAATCCCACTCCTTGGTATTTACCCAAAGGATAATAAAACACTCAATCAGAAAGACACCTGCACATCCATGCTTATTGTAACAATTGCTAAAACACAGAACCAAACTATGTGTCTAAAAGTTGATATCTGTGTTGAAACACTGTAGCACATACATACTATGGAATATTACTCAGCTATAAGAAACAATGAGATCATATTGTTTACTCAAAATGGATGAGTATAGAAGACTTAATGTTAAGCAAGATAAGCCAGATTTTGAAAGATACACACTATGTATCTCTACTCAGTTTGTCACAAGTGTCTGCACTCCATAGCAGAGATCAAAAGATCTGAAGATTGATGATAGAATGGGTGTGGATGCTAGATTGTAAGTGGGGAGAGTGGATGGTAAAGAGTGGATGGTGGAGGGTGGGTCTGAGGTGCAAGGGGAGGAAATATTTGATAAATGTTAAAATGTAAATTTTTCTGTTAAAAATATATATTATTCACCATGATGGGAACTTTATGTAAAATATGAAATTGAGCTAAAAATAAAAAAAAATTAAAAGTTTTTTCAGCTTATATTTAGTTTTGCCAATTGCAGATACAAGCATTTAATTATTCATAGTTATCAACAGCAAAATTTAGTGTATGAATGAGATTAGTAGCTGCAACAGCAATTTTATGAGAAATACCAATAGCAGTATTCAATCATTCAAAAATGTGTACTTAGTGCCTCCCATGTTCAGACACACTTCCAACAGCTATAACACTATAGAGAAACAGCCAGTCTAAAAGTCAAGGAGTTTGAGGGGTAGCAGGCAGCAGAAACAGGATGAAAAAAATATGGATATATTATGGCTACATGCTCAAAGCTTTGACAACTAGTTCCAAATCAATTACTGTCATTGTCACTGGTGGCACCAGGGATGGCAATATTAATACAAGCACTGAAAGATACTGAATTTATTTAAAACAGATCTTTTTCATTTTTTCACTTTTTCTTTTAAAATTTTATTTCAAGTTCTTTTATACTTTCAATCACATTATTTAGCTTGCAAAATGAATATTCCAACATGTGTATATTTCTCCCCAGTCCAGTTGATAATACTATAAAGTTATCTTCAACAGATAATCCCCCATTTCTTTGTCCCATTAATGCTATGTCTCTCTATTTTTCTCCTCAATGTCCTTCTTCAGATTCTATGCATTTACCCACCCTTTTTCCACCCTATATCTGGTATTCACAACCATTTACTCTGTTTCTATATCCTTTACTCATTCAGTATCAATCATAGAGTGCAGATACTCAATATATATTAAGTGGAGACATACAATGTTTCTCATTCATAGCCTGGCTTGCTTCACTCAGCAGTCAATCTTCCATATTCATCCACTTTCTGTCAAAAACCAGGGTCTTGTTTTTTATGGGTGAGTAGTATTCCACAGAGTATATGTGCTACAGTTTTTCAATCCATTCATCTGTTCGTGGGCGTTTGGGTTGGTTCCATATTTTGGCAATTGTGAACAATGCCGCAATAAATATCAATATGCAAACACTTTTCCAATTAAGAATTCTTCTCTCCTTTGGGTAGATATCAAGGATTGGGATTGTTGGATCATATGGACGTTCTATTTGTAGATTTTTGAAGAGTCTCCAAATTGTTCTCCACAGTGGCTGGACCAAATTACATTCTCACTAGCAACATAACAAAGTCCCCCTTTCACCATACCCCCATCAGGACTTATCTTTTTTTTTTTTTTTAAATTTTTGTCATTCTGACTGGGGTTAGGTGGTATCTCATTGTTGTTTTGATCTACATTTCCCTTACAATAAAGGATGTTGAGCATTTTTTCATATGTCTTTTGGCTAGTCATATGTCATCCTTGGAGAGTGGGTGTTTTTTTGACTCATTCTCCCATCTTTTAATAGGGTTGATCATCTTTGTTTGTGACAGCTGTTTGAGTTCCTTGTGTATTCTGGTTATTAGCCCCTTATCAGATGCATAGTTTAGAAAAAAATTTTCCCATTCTGTCAATTCACAATTATTACTGTGTCTTTTGCCATGCAAAAACTTCTTAGTCTGATGTAATCTCACTTGCCTATTTTGGGGATTATTGACTGTGCTTTGAGGGTCTTATTTAAGAAGTTTTTGCCTACCCCAATTACCCCCCAAAGTTTTCCCAGTGTTTTCTAGGAGCAGTTTTATAGTTTGAGGTCTTGGGTTTAGATCTTTGATCCACCTTCAGTTGATTTTTGTCAATGGTGAGAGGTAGGTGTTCAGATTCATCTTTCTGAAGGTAGATATCCAGTTTTGGCAGCAACATTTGCTGAAGAGGTTTTCCTTTTCCCACTGGATTGGACTGCTACCCCTTGTCAAAAATCAGTTGACTGTATGTTTGGGAATTTATTTCCGGGGACTCTATTTTGTTCCATTAGTCTACCTGTCTGTTTCTGCGTGCCAGTACCATGCTGTTTTGATTACCAAAGCTTTGTAGTATATTTTTCAGTCTGGGAATGAGATGCCACCCACTCCACTCTTCTTGTGCAGGATTGCTTTGTTGATACGAGGTATTTTATGATTCCAGACAAATTTTATGATTGTCTTTTCTAGATCTGTGAAGAATGTGTCTGGTACTTTGATTGGGATTGCATTAAATATGTAGGTTAATTTGTAGGTAGAATTGCCATTTTGATTATATTAATTCTTCCAATCCAGGAACATGAGATGTCCTTCCACATTTTTGTGTTATTTTCAATTTTTTTTAGCTTTTCATAGTTTTCCTTGTGGAGGTCTTTAACATCTTTGGTTAGATTTATTCCTAAGTACATTATGCTTTTTGAGGCTATGGTAAATGGAATTACTTTTTCAGTTCTATCACAGTCTGCCTGCCTGTTGTTTATATATAGAAATGTTATAGATTTTGGTATGTTGATTTTGTATCCTGCAACTTTACTATATTCATGTTAGATCTAAAAGGAGAGATAGACTGCAACACACTAATCGTTGGAGACTTCAACACTCTACTGTCTCCTCTAGACAGATCATCTAGACAAAAAATAGGTAGAGATAAAAGGTCTAAATGGTACTATAAATGAAATGGACTTAACAGACATCTATAGAACTTTCCATCCCAAAACCACAAGATAGACTTTTTTCTCCCACCCACATGGAACTTTTTCAAACATTGATCACATAGTAGGGCACAAGGCAAGCCTCTACAGATTCAAAGGAATAGTAACTATACCCAGCATCTTCTCCAACCATGATAGAATTAAACTTGATTTTAATTTCAAGAGAAGCCCTCAAAAATACACAAATACATGGAAAGTAAGTAACCTACTCCTGGATGACTTCACAACTACTGAAGAAATAAAGAAGGAGATCAAAAGATTCATTGACACAATGACAATGAAGACACAAGTTTCCATGATCTTTGGACACTACTGAAGCAGTCATAAGAGGGAAGTTCCTAGCAATTAGTGCATGTAAGAAGATGACGGAAAGAAGGCTAGTGGATCACCTAACATCGTGCCTCAGAGAATTGAAAAAGCAGCAGCAAAATAATGCAAAAAACTCCAGGAGAAAGGAAATAATAAGGATATGAGCAGAAATAAATGAAATAGAAAATAAACTAACTATATAGAAAATAAATGAAAGTAAGAGCTGGTTCTTTGAAAAGATAAACAAAATTGATACACCTCTAGCAAGACCTATTAAGAAGAGAGAAAAGAACTAGGTAAATCAATTCTGCAATGAAGCAGGCAATATAACAACAGACATAGTAGAAATACAAAATATTATTAGAGGACACTATGAACAACTATATGCCAAGAAACAAGAAAACCCAGATAAGATGGATAAATTCCTAGATACATATAATCTACCAAGATTGAGTAAGGAGGATATATACATATATATATATATTTTTTTTTGGAAAGGTTTTTTGTTTGTTTGTTTCGCTATAGGGCACGTGCGCTCGCCAGACAGACAGACAGAGACATAGAGACAGAAAGCGAGAAATCACCCCCCAGGGGGGATGGTCACGCTGCATTTCCTTCTCTTCCATTCTCCTCTCGGGATCTTGGGCATGCACGCACACGCGCCCGGCATGAGTTTTAAGCCACCAGGTCCAGGATGTGAACCACGGTCAACTACGTGGGAGTCCAGTGACATAACCATTATGCTAACTGCTGTTTCCCAGTAAGGAGGATATAGAAAGTCTGAATAGGCCCATAATAAGCCAGGAGATTGAATCAGTAATAAATAACCTCCCAACAAATAAAAGCCCTGGTCCTGATGGCTTCACATCTGAATTCTACAAAACTTTCAAAGTAGAGTTAACCCCCAAACTGCTCAAGTTATTCTAAAGATCCAAAATGGTGAATCTCTCCCTAATTCATTCTATGAAGCCTCCATCACCCTTATCCTTAAAACAGATAAGGACAGGGCAAGGAAGGAAAATTATAGACCAATATCTCTGATGAATATAGATGCAAAGGTTGTCAATAAGATACTAGCAAGTCATATCCAACCACTTATAAAAAAGATTATACATCACAGTCACTTAGACTTTATTCCAGGAATGCAAGGTTGGTTCAACATATGCAAAACCATAAATGTAATACACCATATTAACAGAGAGAAAGATTAAAAATCACATGACCATATCAATTGATGCAGAAAAAAACATTTAATAAGATGCAACATCCTTTCATGCTCAAGACTCTCAGCAATAGTGGCATAAAAGGGTAATTTCTCAACACAATAAAAGCTATCTATGAAAAACCCACAGTGAACATCCTGAATGGAGAAAAGCTGAGAGCTTTTCCACTAAAAACTGAAAAAGGATGCCCACTTTCTCCACTCCTTTTCAATATAGTACTGGAAGTCCTCACCAACACAATCAGAAAAGAGAATAAAATAAAAGGCATCCAAATAGGAAAAAAAAAGAGGTGAAACTCTATTTGTAGATGACATAATTGTATACATAGAAGATCCAATGGTATCCATGAAAAAAATCCTAAAATACGTTTTTAATGTAGTTCTCAACACAATTATTTGAGGTCAATTCAGACTCCTTTTTCTAATCTTTCGAACCCATTTAGTAGGTCTTTAAACCTGACTTGAGCTTCCTCCCCCCACCATTCACAATGAAATGCAATTTTCCCTGTTGATTCTAGGAATTTTGTTGCTTATGAATAGGTTTTAAATTCCTTTGATAAAACTAATTCTTAGATAACAAAATCAAATGGTTGATAAATAACAAGACCTACTGGTTTTCACTCTTTTTGACAATCATTTTGGTGATAAAGTATATCCATATTATGACATAAACCATTTAAAATATCTGCATTAGATAGCAGAGGACAGCCCACATAGACAAAAAAAAAAAAAATCAAGTGAAAAATTGTAATATTAAAATTTGCTCAATTATGCCGTTAAGATGAACAAATTAAGAATGAATGTTCCTACATTCAAAATGATGCTTTGATGTCATGCAGAAAGGAGTTTAATAGTGACTAAAGGTCCAGAAAATATACCTGATGCTCACACTTGGACCACAATGAAGTAGGCCAAGAATCTTCGTGACTACTGAAGTCTAATATGTACAAAAACAATGTACACCAATAGCTGAAAAGACTAGCTGCAAAAAGAATTGACTGTAACTCTTAAAAGTTTAAGAATAAACAAATTTTTAACTTCAGAAATACACTTAAATATATATTTTTAATTTTTTTTTTAGAGGTTTTTGCTATAGGGCACTTGTGCTTGCCAGAAAGACAGAGAGAGACAGAAAGCGAGAAATCACCCCCCAGGGAGGATGGCCACGCTGCAACCCTTTTCCTCCCTTCTACTCTCGGGATCCTGGACATGCACGCATACGCGCCTGGAGTGAGTTTTAAGCCACCTGGTCCAGGACTCGAACCATGGTAGAATATATGGGAGTCCAGTGACATAGCCATTATGCTAACTGCTGTTCCCTTAAACATATGTTTTTGTTTGTTTGTTTTTTTAGAGAGAAGTTTTTGCTTTAGGGCGCGTGTGCTCGCCAGACAGTCAGAGAGAGACAGAGAGACAGAAAGCGAGAAATCACCCCCCGAGAGGGGATGGACATGCCGGAATCCCTTCTAGGGATGGTCATGCCGCAATCCCTTCTCCTCCATTCTCCTCTTGGGATCTTGGGCATGCACGCATGCACACGTGCCCAACGTGAGTTTTCAGCCACCGGGTCTGGGTCTGGAACCGCGGTCGACAACATGGGAGTCCAGCAACATAGCCATTATGCTAACTGCTGGTTCCCTTAAACATATGTTTTTAAATCACGGGTTCAGATAGTTTCAGAATTCACTTCTCCATGTGTTCAAAACTGTAAATCAAAACTGTAAACAACAAGGAACCAGCAGATGGCATAATGGTTACATCACTGGACTCCCACATTGTTGACCATGGTTCAAGTTCTAGACCTGGTGGCTTAAAACTCATACTAGGTGCCTATGTATGAATGCCCAAATTCCCAAGAGGATAATGGAGAAGAATGGATTGCTATGTGGCCATCCTGCAAGGGGTGATTTCTCATTTTCTGTCTCTCTTCATGCTACAGCAAAAATCTCCCTTAAAAAAAGGAAACAATAAAATAATCATATAAAAGTTCAACAAGAATCTCATGTTTCTGTAACTATTGTTTTATGTTTCCTTTTCTTCTTTTCTTTTCTTTTAAATATCAGACAAGTTTATCAGTTTGTAAGGACCTTCTTTAGTGATGGCATAAATAAGTACATAACTTCCTTACTGTATAATTAATTTAGTGTAGATGCTTTAATAGGCATTTAAAATTTTAGATCTTAAAATTTAAAGGTAATCTTTTTATAAATTTTCAACATACATATCTGTTCAAAAAATAAGCTTGAATAATGAATTTTACTTCTCTGCATCCTATGTAACTTAATTTCATACTTTCAGATGTTAAAACAGATTTAGGTCTAAACCCAACTAATCATGAAATTTAAAAATAAAACCTGAAATAAATAATACCCCACAGTCTTTCAGGCTATTGGTATTATTACAAACAATATTATATACCATAAAAAGAAAGTCTCAGTTAAATGTTATGCTTTTTGCTTTTCTTGCTGAGAAAAATTCTTACCTGCAATAGGAGGGCCAAGGAGGACTGGGGCACACTCCACAACCGTGACAAGTCCCACTGCGCTGGAAAACCTTTTAGCACCAACGAGGTCCATGAGGGTTTCAAAGAGGACACTGCTAACACTCCCAAATCCAAGGCCAAAAAATATAGCATATAGCACTAGGGTTGGGTAGTCCTGTGCCAATGGGCACAAGAGGTGACATACTCCAGTGAACATGATGGCAAAGCTGAAGAAGAACTGGATTCGAGGTCGAATAAACTGGGAGTTTGCAATTAATCCTCCAGCAGGTCTAGCAAACATATCAACAAAAGCCATAATAGACAGCAACAAAGCTGCAGAATACTCATCGACTCCCCTGTCTTTAGCATATGGAGCCAAGAATATAATGGGGGCAAAAAAACCTAAAAACATGATGACATTTCCAGATAGGTATATCAGGAATCCTCTATGCTTAAAAAGGGAGAAATCTAAATATTTATTAATTTTTTGCCATGTTGATTCCTTCTCCTGGGTTTCCTTCAGATCTGAATCTTCTGCTCTTATACCTATCTTATTTTTAGATTTCATTTTTTTGGGTTCAAGGGGTCTCATGAGGGCCCCAGCCACACAGGCATTCAAAAATATACCTCCTAAAATCAAGAAGCTTCCCTTCCAGCCATAATTATTAAAAAGATATTGATTGAAAGGAGCCAATGTACTTAAGAAGACAGGACTTCCTGCCATGGCCAATCCATTTGCCATGGGTCGTTTCTGATAGAAGTATTTGCCAATTATTGTTAAGGCCGGTTGCAGATTGAAAGCTAAACCTAAACCTAAAAAACAAAACAAAAAGAGGAGAAAACACAAATATATTATGCCACTCACAGAAGTTACTCTTCAAAATATACACTCAAGTGGACAACGCAGAACTAAAAATTGCAACAGAAGGCAATGGTTTTTGATGACTATAACTATAAATTTAATAGTACAAAAACAAAAGTGTTTTCATAACTGAACACTTGGTATAGAGCATCACATTCCTTTAATTTTAAAACACAGAAATAGGGAACCAGCAGTTAGCGTAATGGCTATGTCGCTGGACTCCCACATAGTTGACCACGGTTCGCGTCCCGGACCCGGTGGCTTAAAACTCAGGCCGGGCGAGTGTGCGTGCGTGCCCAAGATCCCGAGAGGAGAATGGAGAAGAAGGGATTGTGGTGTGACCATCCCCCCTGGGGGGTGATTTCCTGCTTTCTGTCTCTATGTCTCTCTGTCTGTCTGGCAAGCACATGCGCCCTATAGTGAAAATCTCCACCACCCCCCCAAAAAAAAACAGAAATAAAACTAAGAACTTCTATTGATGATCAATCATCACAGAACAGTTTGAAACTAGGACAAATTGTTTAATTCTTAACTAAAATAATTTAATTCCGCAGATAAATTAATAATTTTCTTTTAAAATATATACACCTTGATTTCTTTCTTGGGATCTTGAGTAATTAAAGTTGAGAGCTGAAAAACTGAACCAACTAAAATGTTTGTAACTTGTAACAGTCTTACATCTCCCTTCTTTCAATACTATGCAAATAATAAAAATTAGTAGCAAGGCAATACCATTAACTTAATGCTCTACATCCCTCATATTATACACTTAATATGTACAGATACACATGTGTGCTAATTAAAAATATTGTTAATGCTGGAAACATATTGCAAGGATTAGAGCTGATTATTTATGTAATGGAGATCTTTGTCAGTTATGAGTACAGTCTTTAGAAAATGAATTACCTCTTGTGGCTTACAGAGGGACTATTTAGGAATAGTAATGAGTAAGGTCCTTTAAAAAGTACGTAAAATTGATTTATCTAAAGTACTGCATTTTATCCCTTTATCCAGTCTATACTATTTGAAATAGAGAGGTAAGAATTGGTCTATATTTACTAATTTATCTAAACTGAAACAATATTGTAAAGCAATTAAGCATTCAGGTTTTGAGATAAACAGGTCAACTATAAATATATATATACACGCACACATATACATATAGTTGAAGCATAAATACTTCAACCATTTAAAATAAACATTCTCTAAGTAGGAAGGGTCCTTGAAAGCTAATAGGAAGAAACCATGAGCCTGGTTTGAAGAGTCACAGGACAGTATTCTCTCTAATTCTACCTCTGCCAGACCTGTGAGGTATGCAGAATAAGCATAATTAGATCCAACTTGTAAATGATAAAATTGACCAGCAGATAGTAAAGGAGATTGTAAGTAGAAGAATCCAAACTAAAACCTAGGTATTGTGTTTCAAATTTCTAGTTCATTATCTTATGTTATTTTCCCATATGGTCCTTTGGAACTCCATCTGGTCAGCTGAAATTTCTGTCTTTAGATGGCAGTCGAAATCTTCATTAGAAGGTAGCTGCCATCTATTTCCCTTTCTGGTACAGTAAAATGAACATGTGACTTGATATCCATTGATCCGAATCTGCCCCAACTACTTTGGACTAGTGGGAAGAACACTTAGACTTCCTGAGCTCCCTTGACAACAAAATAAGGGTTTTTCAAAATCAAAGTTCGAGAATTATAGTACCTTAGATTAATTATGCTATGATTAACATCATTTGCTAATGTTTATTTATGAATAACAAAATGCTACATTCTCTATATCATACCCTATTTTTTTTATATTAACAAAAAATTCCTAAAGAAAAAAGCTATTATTTTCTTATTTTATAGACAAGCAGACTGAGGCATTAAGTGGTTAATTACCATGATCACTTAGTTATGTGCTGAGTAGGGTTTAAAAGCTACACGTACTTTCTTTCAGAAACCTACGTCAGAATACTGGCTGATAATAGAGCAAATTCTTCATATGCTTATTTAATTATTCTACTCGACAAGCACCAAAACATTCAAGGCCCATGGGATTAAAATGTAAATTAGAAAAACTTTTACTGTTATTGATATGTATGACACTGTAGTAATAGATCTACTTGTAGCCTATCCTGACTTCCCTGGTCAAATGTAATAATCAGCATGTCTCCCCAAAGAAAAGGTCACTCTCTCCACTATGACAATGCTTGAAGTAAGAAAGTTCCTTTACAATAGCAAAATGTGATTTGCCATATCAAAAAGGTAGAACGGGATTAACAGGTTATTATGAGAAAGATTTTGAAATTACTATTATTGTAGGCTTAATACATCTGTTTTTTTAACCATCAAATGATATAAAGTTAGACTGATATGAAATCACAAACAGAAATATGTTTAGCTTTTTAAACTATGAACATAGGGGAAGATTCAGTCACTATCTGTTAAAGCATAATTTTAAGACTTTGAATGTAGATTTTTAAATGGAATTTATAGTTTGAGGGAATAAAAGAATGTTTCCTAAATGTACATTTCAGGTCAGTTGAATTCAACAGACATTATGCATGAAAAACAACAATAATCAAATGACAGTATGGGATTTTAAATATTTGTTTTAGAGTCAAATGTGCCTTAGTGAGCTTTTAAATAGAATCATTGCAGTAAGCAGAAAAAAGTGACAAGGTTGAAAAGGTCTGCCACTAATCAGAACACACGATAATTTTATTGTCAAAGTTAAAGCAGTACATCCAGAAAATATCTCCTTGGCACCACTTTTAGCATATTATGAGTGATAAGTCAAATATTTTTAATGAGAATAAGTAATGAAAAACATGTTTTAGAAAATGGAGCTACAGAGACCAGCAGATGGTGTAATGGTTACATTGCTGGACTCCCATGTAGTCGACCATGGTTTGAGTCCTGGACCTGGTGATGTAAACTCATGCTGGGCAGATTTGCATGTGTGCCCAAGATCCAGAAAGGAGAAAGGAGGAGATGGGATTGTGGTGTATTTTAATACAACAGATGGAAATACTTCAAAATAGCATTGTTCATAAAAAAGAGGTTCAAAGTAAACAATAAGAATGTTCTGTTGTTTGTCATCATAGAACTTTGCAAATAACAGAAATGTTGAGAAGAAACAAACTTGTGAAGAAAAGTAAACTTGGTTTACCTCCAATGACTCCCACAGTGAGATAAAGCTCTATTACGCTGTTACTGTAAGAGGCCAAGACCATTCCCAAACAGCATAATAAGCCTCCTGTTATCACCACTGGACGGCTGCCATATTTATTCACCAAAACACTACTTATGGGACCTGAAGTAGAGAAGAGAAAATAAATATTTAGTTGCCGGCTCATTTAATTATTCATTTTTAACATTTATTTTGAAAGTTGAAAAAGTACATTTTTATGATGAAAGGGAAAATATTAGTTCATGTGAAATATAATGATGACTTTTCAATACTTTACAAATAATCAGTTGAATCATATATATGATTAAAATGGCTACATATGGGTATATATAAATGAAACCACGTGAAATAATAAATTAGAAGTGTTTGGAAATATAGTTCATTATGACCATAACCACTCAAATATTGATAGCAAGTTTTCAATAGAATATATAAAATGTTTAAAATATTTTAATAAATATAGGTAATCTTATCTAATAAAAATCTAGGGATTATAAAATTGGCATTTCTGTGTTATAATTTTAATACAATAATGTGTGAACACATTAGAATATGTATGTTGTACATACAGATACACACACACACACACACACACATATATATATATATATATATATCTTTAATTATATTTCAAATTGACTTTGTTATATTCAACTCATGGATTGTAAAATAGCAATTGTTTTCAGATGATTTATACTAGACATAAGGGTATCTTCTATTTGATGAGTTTTTCCAGTCTCTGTCCTTCACCTACAGTAATACAGTTATCACGACCTATGGATGCTTTAATTTGGTTAGCATTTCTTGTGACTTGATTGACAGTGCTTAATCTCTCATGTTTCAATCAAACCTCTTAAGGAGCATTTGAAAAAGAATATAAATATGAATCTTGATTTTTGTCTGAAAAATCCTTTGTTAACACATACTGATATGGTCTAGAAAGTATCAGCATTAAAACTTTCAGAATTAGTAAAATAGAACAGATGAAGTTAACAGAAAAAATTGTGAATCTCTCTAAGAAGTTATATTGCCTCACCATAAAAGAGAACAATCACATGTAAATCAAACATGGAGGACCCTGTCTAAAAAATAGTTTAGAAGAGTCAGGTGCTGAGTAAAAAGAAGTTTTAGGAATGCCTTACCCAGTCTATGTAATGTGTAATTTCCTATATATAGAGAGAATATTATATATATTGTAAATATACATTACATAAACATTTTATATGAATTATATATCTTATAAATTATAAATCATATATTAATTTTATATAAAATAGTATATATATAAAAGGCTCATAAATAATTAAAATAACCCATGTTCAATGAAGTCTAAAAAATTATTTTTGTCAATTGTAAAATAAAACTAAATATTAAGAAAGGAATATTATATATATTGTAAATATACATTACATAAACATTTTATATGAATTATATATCTTATCAATTATAAATCATATATTAATTTTATATAAAATAGTATATATATAAAAGGCTCATAAATAATTAAAATAACCCATGTTCAATGAAGTCTAAAAAATTATTTTTGTCAATTGTAAAATAAAACTAAATATTAAGAAAGCATCCTCTCTTTCCTTAGTGGGTGGCAGTATTTTTTCTTTCTTGGTGTATCATAAACAATGGTGTAATTTAACAATTGAGCCTATCTTAAATCCAATGAAAAGTTCATATTTTATGGTACCTATCAATATTTATTTACTTATTTATTCATTTTTTCTTGGAGAGGTTTTTGCTATAGGGCGTGTGCGCTCACCAGAAAGACAGAGAAACAGACAGACAGAAAGCAAGAAATCACCCCTCTGAGGGATGACCACGCCGCATCCCTTCTCCTCTATTGACCACGCCGCAATCCCTTCTCCTCTATTCTCCTCACGAGATCTTGGACACACACATACATGCACCAGGCATGAGTTTAAGCCACCAGGTCCAGGACTCAAACCACAGTCAACTACACGGGAGTCCAGCGACATAGCTATTTCACCAACTGCTGGTCCCTGTACTTGTTAGTATTTAAATGTCTGCTTTGATGTGTCTTTTCTAACTTAAAATAATATTTTATTAAAAATAAAATTAGCGGGTGAGGGGAAAATCACTACTTATGTTAGAATTCCCACTTCCATATTTGCCATGGAAAAGAAAAGTTTTTTTAGTTAAATACTATAATATAAAAATGTGTTAAGTCCTGTTCTAATGTATTTGAGAATTCCTACGTGGATAGTAATTCAAAGTGAGATTCATTTATCAATACACTCATATTATTGCATACAAATATAGTTATTTTGATTCCTTAAATATAATTTAAAAATTAAACATCAGTGCATAATGGAATTTTAATATCACCCCACAATCTGTGAAAATTATACTAGTAATACATAATTCTAGAAAGAGACAAATCTGGGATCAGCAGTTGGCATAATGGCTATATTGCTGGAGTCCCATGTAGTTGACCATGGTTCGAGTCCCAGAGCCAGTGGCTTAAACTCACGTGGGATGCATGAGCGTGTGTGCCCAAGATCCTGAGAGAAAAATGGAGGAGAAGGGATTGAAGCATGACAATCCCCCCTGGAGGATGATTTCTTGGTTTCTGTCTCTCTGTCTCTCTCTGTCTTTCTGGCGAGCGCATGCACCCTATAGCAAAAACCTCTACAAAAGAAAAAATAAAAAGAAAGAGAAAATCAATGACAGAATACAAATTTTGTGTTTATAATAGAAGACAAAATAAAACTTAAAAGGTCATATGAAAAACAGGGCTCAAAAAACAACATAGGTTGGTGAAAACAATCAAAGGAAATTTTACAAGGTATGAGAAAAGAGTAGAATTCTGGCCCTAATACAAGAAAGCACACCTGAAGAACTGAAGAATTTTTATATTTCAAATTGTTTTTGTTATATTCAATTCATGGATAGAATTTATTGAGGAAATCAACATGCTAATCAAATAAGAATATAGCTGAATTCAAATACTTATCATGAGAAAGGGAAAGTCAGGATAAATTGATTGGTTCTGATAAGTTATTTGGTATAAAAATGTCATACCTTTTCTTAAAACTAATTTTCTTCTTGAACTAAGATCAGTACAATGCAGTATTTTTTAAGCTCCTGATGTAAAACCACTTGATCCATATCAAAAATAAAATAACAAATAAAACATATTTGTAATCTACCATGCATTATTGGAAGGAAAAAATAATAAATGTAATTTTAAGTCCTGTGATGGATGCTCTGATAAATACTAGACTATCAGAATAGATTCAAAGGCAATTATCAATGATCTGGACTAATATGATCTATTCTCAGTATTATCAAAGTTATGTATGCCATTACATTATTCAGTACCTGAATAAATAACAAATGGACAAGCAGGGTAATTAATTTACCGTATTTTATAAATGCATTTGTCTAAATTCAGTACATTTAAATTTGAACATAGGCTGCAATCACAACTTAATTTGCAATGGATAGCAAATAACTATCTATGGTTTGGTATAATACATCAAGGCTGTTCTCCTAATTACTGTGATTAATCAAAGGCAGTGTTAAAGAAAACATATGGAGGTTTTAGAATCATTTTTTTGAGGAAGCTTGATAACTTCTTTAGAAGTATCAGTCGATGTGCAATGAGATTTCTAATTTTAAAAAATGATTTTATTCTAAACTATAAACTTTAGTTAAGTGATATTGTAGTGGGATATTTAGCGAGAGTGAGGCTAGAGACAGATTTCATAACCAGGGGAGCCAGGCGTGGGACAATCAGACAAGCTCACAAAATTAACAACGCGGAATTTATGAGGGTCCTGAATTCTCCAACAGTTAAAAACCATTCTCCAAAAAGTTTACTGGGATTCTACCTGTGATAGGCAGGTAGTCAGTAATGAGTGGGCAGTCCTAGGAAAATAGCAAAAGGACACATGCCACATCAATTACAACTTATCAGGAGTTACAACCAAACCCTCCATAAAAAATGTCCTCTTCCCACCCAGCTTCTGACACCAAGAAGGTGAGGCAAATCTCATTTTTTGTCTTTGGTACCTGAGGAAGACACATAGGGATGATTGTAAATCCTGGTTATCATTCCTCATAAATGTAAAAAGATCTAATCAGACATTTTGGTCATTTGGTCCTGATTCCCACTGGGGCAATAAACTAATTGGGCAGTTCATCCTTATAAGGATGCTCCTATCATCATGGCTCACACTGGGCATGCGCGGTTAAGTAATCAAATTCCTCAAATTCTTCACCTGTGGGAGAGATGAACAGGCATACTCAGGAGAAAGTCAGTAAATTCAAAGAACATAGATAGTAAGACAGCCTTCCTATTGTTAAATATTCATTATCACCTCTAGTAATAAAAATAACACATAATCAGTTCAAAACTCTGTTGCTACCTAGCAACCGGCCCTCCCAAAAGTCTTCTGGGTGTATCTCTTTTCTAAAATCTTTCTTTCCTATTAAATTCTCTTTTCAACCTATTTTTATTGTGGTTGTGGTTTTATTTTGCACCTAGGGATAGGTCTTTAAGTTTATGATCTGAACCCAAAGAACCAAGGATTTTATAAAACACAGCTCAGCACTCTCCCATCCTATGACAAACCCTTTTCAGGTTTGAACTGGAATATTGGCAACTTTTCTTATTTGATTTGTAATTTTCTTTATAACCTCCTCCCATTATTTGTAAGCAGCAGTTCTTAAAGTAAATTTTCCACAGACTCCTCTCTCAGAAGCCAACAAGTAAAGCCAAAGAGTTCTGGTAGATAGCATTGCTCATCTGGGTTTGATGCAGGGCTACTATATTAAGGGCTTTTGTAAGTAAGTATTTTGCCTACAAGTTGTAGAATAGTGTTAGCAGAAACCTTTTGCCATACTTCCGAGTGGTCATGTGATGTCTGCCAACCCTATGGCAAGGACCGCAACAATAGACAGGAACAAGGGATGACAGCACATCACAGTAAGAGAACTAATGTAGAAAAGGAGAGCAGTCTATATACTTTGCCAGGGGGTTGATTCTGCCATACATAGAATACTCAGCTTCCATAGTGTCCAAAGCAGGGCTGTAGTGCTCTTCAGTCTCTGGGGTTGTGGCTTGCTTTTTACAGATGATCAGCTTA